TTTTATTTATCTTAATAATAAATATTTGAAAAATAGAAACAAATAAAATCTTATTTGAGTGTCGATATGATGAAAATGATTTATGTTGTTTAGAATGATTTGATCGTATAAAACAAATAATTATTTATTCATCTAGTCTTATTTTATCTAATGATAAATCAAATCGACCATTATCTCATCTATCATCTCTATATCTAAATAAATATAAGATTTATTTTAGTAAAATCAACTATAAATGGATATAAATGTAAATTACCTTATAGAATTAAAAATAATTTAAATCATATTTTTTTTTTGTTATAAATATTCATCAAATTCAACAAAATGTCAAACAACAAATGGATTCGAAGATGAATGTCAACAAAGTTTCATTCGAATTTTTTATTCTTTGATTTAGAAAACGTAAAGGTAAATATGAAATGTTATTACTAGAAAATGTTCAACATCGACTATTTATAACACCAATTATAAATTTAACAAAAAATTCAATTTGTTTAACATATTATTATTATTTAACTGAAAACAAAACTGTTTTATTATCAAGTTATTATCTTAATCAACAAGGTCAAAGAATATTAATTGATAGAATTTATCATATTCGATTTAATGGATGGAATTTTTATCAACAATATTTCACTACAAATTCAAAATCATTTCAACTATTTTCAACGTTTTTTTTTTGTTCATTTAAAAATCTTTAGATTATATTTGAAATATATCGTTATGAAATGTCAAATCCTTCTCAACTATTTTATGTTGCTTTTGATCAAATTACTTTAATAGAACCTATTTATGGTTTATCAAGATTTTTTTTTTTCTTTATTTTAGGAGATACTTTTTCATTAGATAAAACAAAACATAATCTACTATTTGTATGATATATAGATATATATATGATTTTAAAATAAATTTTTTTTTTATTTTAAACTTTATTTCAAAGTTGGAGAATGATGAAATATCTTCATCAATTTATCCTGATAGTATAACTCAAACCGATTATTTACTCAATATAACAGAGTAAGTTAACATTTTATTTATTTATGATTGATAGAGAATTTATATAATATAGAATAGAATTCAAAATCGAATATATTCTATCATTTTCGACACATATAATGCACCTTCAATTTTATCATTTAAGATTTGTTTTTATTTTAAATAAATAAATCGAAATGAAAACAAATATATTTATTCTATTCTCAATTTATTGATTAAACACAAATAATTTTATTTCGATTGATTCATTTTATAGTCAATTTAATAAAGAATCGACTCGATTTTCAACTATATTTAGAGATTGATCTCAACAAGAATAATATTCAACTGATGGTCAAACTTCAATAACTGATTCACAACCAACAAGAACAACTAGTACGACTAATGATTATATTTATACTCTTGATTATAATTATTCTATTGGTAGTAGAAATAGTATAATTAGTACTACAACTCAAAATAAGAATTACCTATTAAATTCATTTTTTGATAAATTATATTTCGAATTATAGTTAATCAATAAACTCCATATGATAAACAATGTAATTAATTCTCGTTTGAAATAAATAATTTAATAAAAAAAAATCTATATTGTTTAGATGGTTTAACAACAATTCTTGCTCTTTCAATTGGTAAAGGAATTCCAGCTGCATTAGGAGTTATTGGATTTATGATTTATATTATAAAAAAAATCGAAAATTGAACTAAAAGAGCAGTTAGACCTATAAAAGATGTTGATAATCATCGTTGAAAAAAATGAAAAGATATTGATTTAAAAAAGAAGCGACGTGATCATCATAATCGTCATCATCAGAAAAAAACAAATCGAACAAAAGAAAATATTGTTTAACAAAAACACACCATTTATTCAATTTATTCTAGATTAAATAAAATGTTTTCTTCATTGATCTTTTAAATCTCTCACTATTTTTATTTAATATAGAAGAAAAAATAATTTCTTTTTTTTTAAAATTCTTTCAATCGATGATCGATAGATTTTTTTTTTTCGAATTATTTTATTTAATTTATTTTAACAAAAATATTTCCATTATTAACTAATCTATTAAATATTGTCATTAATCATTTTGTTTTTATTCATATATTTAAATAAAAATAGTTACAATCGTTCTCTTTTTATTTTCAATATAAAGACAATGATCAACAATTTTTTATTTATTTTTCTATAGTTAATCATTATGATAAACATCCAACTGAAATATTTATCTTTAATTAATTAATATTTTCTTGAACATATATATATTGAAGAAAATTCTTTTCTTTCAATAGTCAGTCAAAATAAATAAATTTTCTATAGATAATTATAATATGTTGAACATAATTTTTTGACGTTAATCTAATCTATCTTGAGATAAAGATATAAAGAGATAAATAAAAATTGACAAATTAGGATAATATACTGTAATCAATAGATAGAGATTTGTTTATTCTGTCAATAAACATATGATATATCTCATTCTGATTTAAACCCCCCGACACATTAGAAAACCCGGGGTCTTCTATTCTGTCTTACCGTTCATAAGTTAAAAGGGGGGGGGGGTCTTCTATTATGTCCCTAAAAAAGGTCATATTTTTTGGCAGTTTTGCCAAAAAATCTTCCTTTCATTTGATTTTTGTCCCTGATATCGTTAACAAATGAGTTTTTTTCTACATGTTTCAATTGTGCAGGGTAAAAAAACGAAATATTATCTCGTGAGAAAGGGGAGACCATAGTGCATAAGAAGTATTCTTAGCAGATACAGTCATTGTATCCCAACATTTTGGTACGATATCTGTTAGCGTTCTTTTTTAAGGATAAGATCTATCACTGCAATATTTTATCTTCTCGATAACTAAATAAATGCAAAAAAGAAAATTATTTTTTTTATCAAAATCATTTAATTCAGTTACTTATGTGAAAGTTTGATTAACCCCTTCCTCCTCCCTCTTACCACAGAATGGAAGTCCAGGGTGTGCTCCTGTTCCGCAAGCTATAACTTTGCAACGATGCATGTTCCGATAAGAGTTTTTGCGTTATTTGATAGAAAAATGTTTATTCTTTCATTGTTCATCGACTTTAGTTCATTTTTCATAACGCGAACCTCGATTGTCAACGGAGAATTCTAACCCACCGGATGGAGTTCTATTCTGTGAGGAAAGAAGTTTAGTATAGATGGAAATCGTTTACAGTCAATTCTCCTACCAGCGTAGTTATAAATCTCAAGTTAACTTCGATAAGTATGATTGTCTTATTAAAAATTATTTATAGAAAATCTGTAGTTGAATATACAATCCGTGTTTTCTTTTGCATCTGTCTCGAAGATGCCTTTGGGTCTTATGGAGAAAAGAAATAGGTTCGCAAACTCTAAAGAAGTATTCATATATAAAACCATGATGTACCTACATGCAGTTATATTTTCTTTTGTTATGGAACACTGTTTTGTGGTTCAAATGCTTCTGATTCTCCAGAAGAAAGTCGAAGATAGAGAGGTCTTTGTATTAATACACATTAACATTTTACCTAATCTTTTACTAATGTGTAAAGATCTCTTCATGCATTATACGTGGAAAAATCTACCGTACTCATTAGATCCTGTTTCTGCGAAAGCGTATTTTTCATGCATAGAAACTGAAGAATATTTATAAACTAAGCTGCAAAGGAGTACTGAAATGACTCCACAAGATGTTGTTAACAAAGGAACACAATCTTTAATAGATAGATCTTTCCTATAAACTACTTCACAAGATTTCGCTCGCTCGGATTTGATACTTTGCTATAAGAATGAAAGGAAAATCTTTTTCGTATTAAATTTAGACATAATTATGAACTTAGATACTAAAAAAGTCAATAAAATTCAGGAACTATTTTAAAATATCGGCTTTTTAAGGGAGGTCTTCTAATATGTCTGTTGCGTCATTGATTCAAGGGGAGTCTTCTAATATAGGGGGTCTTCTAATGTGTCGGGGGCTTTATATATATAGAAATAGATTAACCCTTTGACGGGCGGTGGGACATATATGTCGGCCTGTCCAAGCGTGACGGAATCACGTTTTTTTCACCTTGCGATTTCTCTATCTCCATGAAATGAAGTTGGATAAGATCTTATCCAACTTCATTTCATGGAGATAGAGAAATCGCAAGATGAAAAAAACGTGATTCCGTCACGCTTGGACAGGCCGATGTCTCACTTTTTGTTTTCGAGTTCAGAACTATAATAAACTAGAATTAACGACTCTGGTAGAACGAACGATGATACTGCGGTGACCTTGTTGCTTAGTTTGTATAGTACGTGGTTGTTGTATCATCCATTTGATACAAAACCAGAGTATAAGCGTGGATGTGAATGTGAATAATTTATTCATACCCAAGAACACTCACAACCTCCTGCACGATGATCTGGATCATGATCTATTTGACTGCATTATCGACATCGATAGAACTTAGCTATCCTAAATTCGCCCGTTAAAGGGTTAATATAAACATATAACTTCTATTGATAGAAGTTATTTTATAAATCAATTATATTTATTTATAGATTTATTTTCTCTGATTGTTAACCGATTTAATTCTTATATGATTTTATATCGAAATGTTAACGATAATTTAAAATCGTATAATTATTTCTAATCAAAGGAGAATTAAAAAAATTCTCGTTCGAATAGATATTGATTAAATAAATGTCAACAGTTAATATATATTATATTATCTTCAATACTCCGATTGTTGTTAATTAACCTCTCAACGATTTTAATTAATAAATGAATAAAAACAATATTTTATAATAAGATTAGAGTTAATAATGAGAATAAAAATAATAAAAACAATCGAAATTCGTTAAGATTTCTTATTATTAAACCTTGTTAAATAATGATTATATATAATTAATTATTCTATTAGTGTTAACAATATTGATTATAATATTATATTTAAATAAGAGGTTTGATAATTCTTCATAGTATTAATATATAATATAAAAAAAGAGAAATTTATTTCTAGGATATATTCAACTATTTTTATAGAAATATATTCAACTCTTAATTATATATTTAACTGATATATTTATTATTCCAAAGATTAAAAGAATATTCTTAGGAAATTTTCGAAGATTTATTTAAAAAGTTTCTTGTGGTTTTTTTTTAGTAGTTTATTCTATATATTATAGAAATTGAATATAGATTCTGATTGTTTATCTAACAAGAGTAGATATATTCGATTTTTTTATATAAAATATTTAATTTAATTATAGTTTTATCGTTAACTAGAGTGTAAATAAATGAAAAAAACATTCGTTTAGAGAATAAAAGAGTCGAAATAATAGATAAAAGGAATAAAATATTTTATTTAAAATATCTTCTAATATATAATATAAAATAATCTCATTTTAAAATAGTGATAAAAAAAGTAGAAGTTATCTATAATGATAAATAATCTTGTCAAATATATATTTAAAAATCTTGAATAAATTTCTATTATTTAATTAATGATTCGTTCCCCACCCCTAAAACAAAATTTTTTTTTCTGACCATCCAATCTTGATGAAATTTTCAGCGGAGGTGTATCTTGGGCTATGTACCTTACAACAAAAATTTCAGCTCGATATATTGAGTGTACGAAGAGCTAGCTTAAGCTTATGGGTCAAAATTTACGTTTCCGTGTGTCCGAAATTTCTCCGCCACTTTAAATGCTAGAAAGTTTGGGTTGGTTTTAAAATGTAGCTCAGACATGACGCTACAACTTAACAGGGACCGATTTTTTGTTTTTTTCCTAACTTGTGTTTCTAGAAGACTTCTCTGATAAAATACAAAAAACCCAGGGGTGTAGGTCCGGAACAGTTAGTTTTCAATAAACATTAAGGACAAAATCAAAATATCCGGCTCTGTTAAGTTGTAGAGCTAATTTTTGTCTTTATTTTGACACCAAGCCCAGCTTTCTAGCGTTTAAAATGGCGAAGAAATCTGGGACGCACGGGAACGTAAAGATCAAAAATCTTATTTTGAGAAAAAAGCAAAACTTTTTAGAAAAAACGTTATTTTATCCTACGGGAGGTTGAGAAAAGCCTGTTTAATATCCTTAAATCTGATCATAAAATCAATAAACGATAGTGCATTCGAAAGTAGACACTTAGCTCTATATAACGAGCTATAAATCACAAAATCGACAAACTTGACCAAAATTGACATTTTTTAGGGGGATCTTAACCAAAAGAAAGGTTTTCTTTTTTGTAGATCATCCTTCAAAATCATTTATCATAGATATAAAAATAATTTATTTATCATTTTTATTTTATTTCGATATTTGTTTGAATTATTTTTTATTTGGAAATCAATATTCGAATATTTTTTTTTAACATGGTTAATTAACAAATAAATGAAAGAGACATAAAGTAAAAAAAAACAAACGCATATCAATCTATATGATAAAATCGAAATAAAATAACGAAAAGAAATGAAAAGTGGAGGAGAAAGGAAGAAAGACTAATATTGGTTATGCTTGATTAAACATATATTTATCAATAATAATGAGAAAAAAAACAAACATACATACAAAATATTTTATGATTAGTTAACAATATGAAAAACAATATGCGTTTTATATTTAATTTATTTATTGAGAAAAATTTTTGTTTATTTAAAGATTTTTATTTAAATATTCTTTATTTATTTATTTATTGAAAAATAAAAATAAATTTATGGCTGAGTATTGAG